TTATGCCAGAGTTTCTGTGTATTTATGTGCGTGCCACCGCACGTACTAGGGCGGCCAATAATTCCTCCGACGACTTCACCGAGCACTTTTTTCAACAAGCTGAGGAACGTTTAGGATAGCTCGAGTTTAGGGTGGTTTTTATGTTTTTTTTTTTTTTTTTTTTTTTTTTGAGGACCAATGTGGAAAGAATATTTCGGTTAGGTGCACTAAAATTGAAGGTGACTTGCAGAAAAGATATGACTGAAAATGTACTAACTTATTCGCCTTATTACTCCCTCGAGTAAATAAGGATACGTTTTATTAAACTTGTTCAATTCGTCTCAATATCCGCTAAGAAATGGTCCCAAGGAAATGACAGGTTCATCTATAAAAGCTTGAAAGTGACCCCGATAACTTTGAGAAAAAATGGACTGACAGAAAAGTTACCGTAATCATGTCAAAAGTCTCTTTGAACCATATTATGTGATACAAAAAAATTTTGATTCGATCCACTGACGAGGGGAATAATTAAGGTGCACAACTCTGAACAACTTTCAAGCGTCATTTTGTACAATAGTTTCCGAAGCAAGAGATCGAGCATGATCGAGCGGTAAAGATAAATGTCTATCGAACGCGATCTAAAATGATTTTCCCGAGCCTGGAATACCGGCGTAACATTGAGATTTCACGAAAAGACCTCCCCGGTGTTATTTTCGTAGCCGTAGAACGGAGGATACGAGTTCGTTCGTCGAACAGAGCGATCGATGATCGCGTTTCCAAGTCGTATAGATTGGTATCGGCCGGATATCAATCGATCTTGACTAGATCCTCTGTAGATCGGGGGATAACGCGCGGAACCAGGTACAACAGAGGTAGATACCAGGAGCGGCAGTTTAACGCGAAGATCGATGGTCGATTGCATACTCAATGGCGTCGAGGAGCCTTCTAAATCACCGGCCTCGAGATTTAGTGCACGCGGGGAGATTCTTCTAGCGGTTTCAGTCGGCGAACAGACGGTCGATGGCAAAAAAAAAAAGGACATTGAAAAGGAACGATCTTTTATCCTATGGAAAAAACAAAATTTGCCTAATATTCTGCTGGTTTTTGTGGTGGATGAAAATTAGTTTGCTTCGTGCTGCTTTCCTGTTTCTTTTAGGACGTTTTTACGTTGGAGAAAATGGTGAAGATATGGTATTGTTAATGTATTGGTAGTACTCAATACTTGATACTTAATAATTACTCAAATATTCAATTGAATACTCAATACTTGATACTTAATAATTACTCAATTAAATACTCCACATTTAATACTTGATTATGACTCAATTAATACTTAATAATTACTGAATTAATACTCAATTAAATACCGAATACCTACTCAATTAGGGTACTCAACACTTAATAATCAATAATTACTCAATTAAATACTCAATACTTAATAATTGCTGAATTAATACTCAATTGAATATTGAATATTCACTCAATTAAATACTGAATAGTCAATTAATATTCAATTGAATACCGAATACTTACTGAATAAATACTCAATTAACTACTCAACGCTTAATAATCAATAATTACTCTATTAAATACTCAATATTTAATACATAGTAATTACTCAATAGTACTCATAAATACTCATTACTTAACACTTAATAATTACTCAATTGAATACTCAATTATTGAGTCACGAGTACACCCACGAAATATCTTCACGGAACCACTAACCCAACCAATTCACCAAAGAAAACTCAACCACCTTGCAAAACCCTTTGATGAACCCTCCGCATCTTAAGGCTTCCTGAAACGCCATTAAAAAGAGGAGACACGTCTTCATCGCAGGGTTAAACGTCCCATTAGAATTCGTCAGCGGTGGCCAGCTGTTGGAGTCTCGGCGCGACTCCGAAAACGGCGAATAAAGATCGAGCGAGAGAGTGAACCATGGGAGAAGAGGGACGTGGAACGGAGGGCCAGACCCGAAGAATCGAATTTGCCTAAAATCATTGCGCCAGCGTCGTTTCACGATCCGCGAACCGTGGGTAAGAGGCACGATTGACCGCTGGCAAAGCGGGGGTGGGGTATTAACATTGACGGCCGAGGCGAAGTTAGAGCCAGCCACGGACCGCGACATGCATTAAACATCTGCCATATAGCCGGACAATTCTGAATTATACATCCACGGCGAGATAGCCGGCTGAGTGGCCACGGAATTGTCCCACTATTTCTTTGCCGGCAATCGAAGCTGTCCCGCTGTGCGATAACGCCGCTCCCAGTGTGGATTGGAACACCGTGAGCGGAAATCCTGCCTTTCTTCTTCTGCCGTCCGCAGATTAGATCCAAGTCTCTGGGTCACGCGGTCCCGGAAGAAGAAAGTACGCCAAGGAAAAGTGTATCGCGTTGGAATTGAAGGATGAGATCGAATGGCGGATCGTTGGAATTTATCGTCGCGGGGTTGTAGCGATAAAAGTAGAAAAGATCGATATGGATTGTAAAAATTATGTCGTTAATAAAACTTCGATTAATTTTACAAATTAAAATTAAAATTAATTTTTTAAAATCAACAGGAACTTGTATTTTATACTGGAGGAGCTGCAGCACTGCAGATACAATCTAAGGTGAAGAATGATTGCTTAGGTGCGATCATAAGGATACTTTTAGGTTATGTTGGATTCTTGCTGCTTTAGATGCACCTATGAGGGTTGTGACGGGTGTGCCAATAGAATATGATAATTTTTAGAGTTGTTGTGATCACATTTCATTCACGAAAAAACCTTAATAAATATTAACGAAAAATATTAATTATAACGACAACTTCCTAGAGGTGTGCATTACTAATTTTACACCCTATACATAACTAACTTAAAGTGCTCCGATTGAGGCCATGTTTGGACTCATTTTCCTCAGAAAAATCTCACCAATCCATTAGAAACCTTTTCGTTACAATAAAACAATAATTATAAACATTCAACTCTTCACACATCTCAGCGATGACTCATAGTCTGTCGGCTTCGAGAGCTCAGACAGTCCAGACATTATCTATTTCACTCGCTCTCATTCTCCATCCCTTTCAACGGCGATCTTCAGGATCTTCCGTTGCACAAGCCGAGAGTTCCGACAATTCCTGGAAGAGAAACTAAGCCACGGCTCCCTTAAAAGCTCATCGCCCAGGAGCACATTCAACCGTGCACGCTTTCAAACAAACACACAAGAACATTTCAACTCCATGTTCGGTAAACGTGGCAATCTAATCTCATCCCTAGTCGAATCCAACCAATCGCCCTCCGACAAACCCAACATCTTTCCCTGGAAACCAGACGATTTTTCCAAGGGAAAACCATAATTTTCTCCCCCGAAAGATTAACTCATCCCTTAAACCATCCTCTAACTCCAACCGCATTCTTCATACGTTTCACGTACACACAGCCTCGTCCCATCCCTTTCAGTTCACCGGCGTGGAGAGATAAAACGCTGACATACCAATTTCGAATTCGTACCTATTGGCCCGGCGATACTTATCGCGACACCGGCCAGCGAAGAAGGTATCACCGTGGACGCAGGTGCAACGAACGAACGTGTTGCACGCACGAGTCGACGAGCCGATCTGCCGGTGGAATCGAGTAAAAAAGCCGTAGGTCGACGCCTACGTAGTCTCGGGCCGATCGACCCTCAGGATCTGCCGACCAGGCCAGAAAATCGAGCTTTCGACAAGACAATCGTACACTCGAAGAGAGAGAGAGAGAGAGAGACGACGACGACGGCTTTCTATACCTTCGCCATGCACCACGAATACGAATGACCACGGTCGGAGGTGCGTAAGGCAGGAATTCACATTCCTGGCCATATTCGGCTCTCTCGCCGACCCCTCGTGTCGCCTCCTAACTCTTTCAGGACGTAGCAACCGCCAGGACACGTGGGGTTACCGTATTTATATCCACCGGCCCTCTGTGTTTACGCCAGCGACTTAAACAGTTAGAGATCGTAGAGAGCCAGGTCCCGGGAAAGCCTCCTCGTATTTGGCCTCACTCGTTGACTTCAATAGTTTCGAAGGCTGAATTTTAATCCCCCTCGGTCGCGTATCCCACCGCTGGCTGGATCTTTCAGCTTCGACCGGCCACGTGGTCCACCCATGCTCGGTTAAATTGAAGAGAATCGAGTGGGTGCGTTTCAATTCTCGCGAGCAGGGTGACGTTTTGATTCTATGAATTGACTGTCGAGCAGGTTGGTGAGGAAAGATAATAGATTAAGCCAGAGTGAGGTAACGACACTTGATAAGGATTCTGCCTGCGTTGCAATGAATTCAATACCCCAAATTTCAATTTCTCTAGTTTTCATCCTATTTTCATGGAAATAGTGCCAATAAATTGGAGAATTTCTCCCGATGAAAATGAGTACAAACACGACATAAATCGGATTAGTTTTACCAGACATCAAATTAAATATCCCAAAATTTTTCGAGTGCCTTTAACAGTGATTATTGTTAAGAGTAGTCCGATTAATGTCGTGTTTGTACTCATTTTCATCGGGAGAAACTCACCAATCGATTGGCACTGTTCTAATAAAGATAGGATGAAAATTATAGAGATGACCTAATACTGTTTCTTTTTTGCGGTGAATGTTACAGTGTCTTAAATTAATTTTAGGTAGTTTTAGAAGAATTGTACAACTCTGTGTAAATTTTAAAAGAAAGAATCCTTAAAATGACAAATATTAACGATGCTATGTAAATAGCTCATTATCCTGGACTTTCAATTCTTCAAACATAACCTGTAAAGCTTCACAGGTTAAAAGCCTCAATCTCTTTATTCTTAATCTTTTAAACACTTCATTATGAAGGTTTCCTTCAGATGAAAGAAATCTGACATTATCCTATAATCTACAACTAGATACTAAAAAATGTACATTTTACTTAAAATTGCTGAAAGTTAAATTTCCAAGTGTTACAGTGAATCCACTTAGAATGTTTCTGCTTGATATTTATCACCAGCATATTAATAGCTTCAATATTTTTCCTTTACACTTACCTTGGACATAGCAGCGCCCAGGCCAGCTTGACACGAACCCTGCCTATGGTAACCCCAGTACTCTGAAACGGAAACACGCAATTATATAGTGTCTTCCTTCGCTATTCCAAACAGAGACGTCATATCTCGGTCGTTTCGTTTGAACGGACCCCTGACCATGTATACACCGGGTGCCTCTGGTAATTGGGAACGTTCCTCAAATCGACCCTTCGTTACGATGCCACGCATAATTTCATTGGACAAATGAAACATGATTTCGAGATTGCATGATTGACCTGCTGTTTGAGTGACATGTCCTTTGCTCTTTAAGAGGACCTGATCACTTTATTATGGTGTGTATATTATTTATAACACTTAGTACGTCACAATTGTTACTTTTAATTAACAAAATATCGTGTTGTATACTTGGACAAGTAATCTGTTGTTGTTGTTGTTGTTCAACTTGAAAATAGTAGAATGAAAGTTAGTATTATGAAAAGGAAAGCATGAACTAACCTAACCTAACTTCATACCTTAATATATTTGTTCAAAATAAGTTTGTGCTTTCTGCTTGAAAATGTGACAAAATAACGAAGTGCAATGTTTATTGTTGAATAAAAAAGTTCAAAACAAAAAGTAATTTTTATTTCAGTAAAATGCTATTGGAAAAATTTTTCTTAGAACATTCCAACAACTTCTAATCCTACTCTTAATATAAACCAAGCATAATTTACAATTATATTATTTATTGCAATTCCCAGAACAATTAATTTTCTTTCAAATTAAATTTATTACAATTTTTAAAAGAACACTTTCTTCTAACACTATTTTTCATTGTTACTACTTTCTAACATTATTATTCTTCATCACTATTTATATTTTACTCTCCTTTTTTTCTTAATCCGAAAATCAGTAGCAACTTTCTTTTTCACACACTTTACTCTACAAAACTGACAATATTAATCTTTATCATATTCCATGACCCATATACTGGGTGATCGATTTCAGACGTGTTGAACTCTTCACAAATCGGTCTAAAAAAAATTGTTTCACCATAAATTCAACGATCTAGCACATCGATGTGCATAAACAGTTAACCTCCGAACTACCAGGAACATGAACGAAACACTTGGTTCGGTACGGTCCAGCGAAAAATAAGGAAGCATTGCACGAAAGGATCGCACGTCAGGCGAGGTGAAACATTTTGCACGCGTGCACATTTGCTAAACGTCTTGTACCGTGACACCGAGGTCGTGTGTCGAGCTATCGTCTACGAAGTCGAGTTAGGCATCGCCTCAAAGGCCTATTGCCACGCACTCCCGCACACGTCCGTAGAATACGTGCATGCATCATTAATCCTAGATCGATCCTGCGGCGTGACGCATTCTCGCAGCTCGTTTTCCTTGCTCGCGAATCGGCCGATCGATCGATCTTGCCTTCAAGACTACCCCCCTCGAGTGAGATTGAATTTAATTCAAATTAGATCGTCGATACACGGACCAGATAAATTGCTCCTGATTCGATGGAATCTTAATTACCTTCATTCCCGTATATTTTCTGCAAACTGAGCGAGATGTGTTCAAACGTTCGACCCCATTTTTCGGGCGGTAAGAGTGTGTGAAATAATAGTTGGCGATACATTTTTTTTTATAATTTTGGGCAGAGAGAAATAAGCGTTTTTCGAATATTTTGTGTTTTGAGATGAGAACAATTTTTTTTATTTATGGAGTAGAGGCTGCGTGATAAAGTAATCTGGATTGTGTAGTAGGAATTTGGATTTTTTCAAAGCAATATTTATTTTAATTATGCATAAACTGTTTTTCAAATATTTAGTGTTACAAATTCGGAATAACTTTTTTTATTCGTGGAGTAAGTTGTATTGTGTAATACCTGTATTGTAATAAGTAAAGAAAATTCTTTATTTTTTTCAGAGCAGAAATATCTAATTCACGTTTGTTTTACTCATGCATAAATTGTATCTTCCAGGTTTATTCTAGACTTTCAAACTAAAGATTAAATCAATATACTAATGCACATATGTATGTGCATTAAAAGACACGTTGCGCCCCAAATTTGAAAAGAAGTTTCTGTTATAATAAATTGCTACAAAGAAAATGACTAATTTTTTAACATGCGTTTAAATTTAATATTCTTAATCAGAAAGGTACTTTATAAAAGCACAAATACTCAAAATTCTGACTTAACAGTTTATCAGACGAGAAAGAGCCAGTAAATTTATTAAAAAGGTTCTTTCACATTTCTTGCAACATCTAAATTAACTTAAAAGCTTCACATTGTGCAACTTCGTTAAAAAAAAATAATCCAATTACATATTCATACTTCCCAATTTCTTCTCGATCATTTTCCCTCGTTGTTCCAAGTGCAAAACGAAAGTTAATATTGAAAAAGCAAAAACAATATTTTCCTGAAATTATCTAATTTTATTTTTATTGACGATCTTTAATTTGCGAATAAAGGTTGACTCAATCGACTGCAGGGAGAAAAAACGTTTATTGATATAAATGTAATACAAAACAACGGAGGCGAAAACCCGAGTGAAAAACAGGTACTCAGTTCGGGGTTGTCGCACGACTGCATTTGTTGTATACTTGGATCGGAACCACGGTCAGCGGACCCATGGCTTTTATGGCCTACGTTAAGCAGAGAAACTCGCAGCAGAACAATTCAAAATATAATCTATTCTCAATAATTTTCAAAAAAAACTAATCAATCAATCATGCTTTCCAATTTCCTCTCCACCCTTTTCCCCAATTTTTCCAAGCAACCCCCACGCAACCGAGTATCCCCCAAAATTCACCTTGCAGAAACCACCAACTTAATTAATTCACAACCACCCCATCCCACGGACCAACAACCACGTCTATAAACCAGCCGGAGAGAAACCAGAGCACGTCACCGTATTCCATTGTTTCCTCTAAATACATAATTCATCCGTCTCGAGGGCGACTTTTTCACGGTTATCAATTTTTACAACTCGCGATCGTGTCTCCGCTCTCTTCTTCTTCAACCATTACGATTTTTCTCCAACGCGCGCGGCCGGCTAGAGAGAGAGAGAGCTCGCCGATTTCCTATAATTTTCCGTTTTTCACCTCGATGGAAACCAGTTCGAGTGTGCCTCTCGTTCTCCAGCGTGCACGGTACATACGTGTTACGAGGTTTGACAGACCGTTTTATCCAACGACCGATACACTATTTCACGTGCTCCGCAGGGCAATTACGTGTCATCGAGAAAAAGGAACGGTTATTATAGCCGTGTTCTTCTGGTAATTCGCTCTTTCCGCCTCACGATCCCGCCTGCAGGGAATGCCCTTTTGCAATCGTACAAATATCCGCGTTTCTTGGCCGCCTCTGGCCTCGCCAATGATATTTCAGTGGAAGACGCGGCAGCAGCCGTCTTCTTCTCCCTCTTGAAGCAGCGCCAAGCAGCGCAGGGAAAAGAAGCGGAAAAGTAGCGGATGAAATTGCATTACCCGCGGCGACGCGTACACCATGTGTGAAAAATTGTTTTTCCTTTTCTTTCTTTTTTTGCTGATCTGTTGCTTGTAAATGGAGCGAGTTTACGCGGTGTATAATTTGCGGGAAGGTGGTAGGTCGAGTCTTTAGTCGGAACGAGGGGGGAAAATTGAAAAGCGGTTTTGTTGTTTGGGATTTGAGGAGTTATTGGTGATATGGGAAGCTTGTTTTTTTGGCGGGTTAATTGAGGGGAGTATTTGTTAAGGAGGTTTAAGACGATGTATGGAAATTGTGTAATTAGTTACTGTCCATTCTGAAGTATTACGAAATTTTCATTTGAGGATTTATGTATATAAAAGTTTAAGAAATATTCTTTTAACGTTATTACTTGTGTCAATTTTCAGTGATTTTAGAAAATGTGGATTCACGCTATTTTGAAGAATTTTACCACGGCTGCCTGATCTATTAAGGATTTTTGGGGAGATATGAGAAAATGGCATAATTGGTCACCGTTCCTTTGAAAATATTGCGAATTTTGCATTTGAGCGTCAACGTCTGAGGAATATTCTACCAATGTTATTAATTTAATTTTCAGTGATCGTTGGAAAAATGGATTTTGAAGAATTTTACCACGGTTGCCTGATTTATTAAGGAGATTTGAGAAAATGTAAGAAAATGGCCTAACTAGTCACTATTCATTTTGAAACATCACAAATTTCCCATCCGAGTGTACCAAAATTAAACAAACATTCTACCAAAGTTATTAATCGTTTGAATTTTCAGTGATCATTGAAAAGTAGTTTCACATTATTTTCAAGAATTTTACCAAATTTGCCCGATTTTTTGCTTAGAAAAGCAAAATTCCTTCCTCTCCAAAACAAAACTAAAAAAAAAGAACAAATTACAATTTAAGTAACTTAAAAAATTCATCCCACGAAAACAACCCCCAAAATTCGTATTCCAACAGTTTCAAATTTTCCACAAATATCACACATAAACTTTCGACGAATTATCCAACAGAACGTAACCACTTTTGATATTAATTATCTAACGATAACATTCCTTCCAATAAGAACAATTATCACAAGGATGCACGACACAATTCCACTTCTATTATTGCATCAAAGACTGTCCATTATCTACTTCGTTGTATCATTTATGACTGAAAAAAACGTTGATTTAATCATGCTTCCAAGGTACCACACACACAACGAACCTTTCCACGAATAATTCGCCGATTTTCACAGCTTCAGGGAATACAGATGTAAATAATAAGCTGGATACAACGATCGATGATAATTTATACCATATGCAGAGGCAAGGATCGAAGACGTGTAAAATTTATTAGCCAATTAAGACGAAGAACGTGGCCGGTCCAATTACATCGAATGGTCTATTTCCAGATATGTACGTCAAACACGATTATGGGGGGAAACGTTTAAAGGGGGACTTACATACAAATGTAGCAAGAGGAACGCGACGAAACGCAGGAAGTAAAAAGGCGCCACCGCGGGAAAGAGAAGGTTTTTGGTTTCGTTACACGTGCGAGAATCGTATGGAAATTCTTCTATGTCCATCATCACTGTACATCAATTCACACGACGAG